TATAAGGCATGTTTTTTTTTTTTTTTTTTTTTTTTGACAAGGGTAATGGTTAGGAAGTTAGTAAAATTAGTTTGTTAAGAGCTGAAATTTTTTAGAATAGTGAACATTTCACACCCTCATATAAAGATGCAACCATTAGGTCACAAGTTGGTGAAGTTGACGGCGGTGGGCAGAATTCCAAGCACTTACTTTTCTCTCACCCAAACTCAAGTCCTAAGGCTTGGTAACAAGCATTGAGGCAGAGGCCCGGTTGGTCCTTAAAACTACATTTAAACGAGTGTGTTGTGTTGCACGTGGGACCACATCCTAACTATAAACTTCAATATCAAAAGTATATTTTTGTTTAATTATTTATATTTTATAATTTAATGTAATTTAAATTATAAAATATATTTTGTTCAATAAAATCAAAATTTCTTTATCATCTGGTCATGATCAAAGCCATGTTAAGAACTTTAATGTTGAAGTTGAAAATTCAAGTCCATGTGTTGGAATAGATGATGGGAGGGCTATTTTCCACGGTGTCATTAATTTATGTATATACAAAAAAAAAAAAAAAAAAAAAAAACTTCTTGGCACTATCAATTAAACGACATCGTTTGATGATGAAATTGTCAAAACCCTAATCCACCCAACCTGTGAGGCGCGCAGATGCACAGAGCCATGGAGACAAGAATCTGCGCATCTCTTGGTTTGCCTTCCACCAACACAAACCAACACCCACCTCTACCAGGATTCCGATCCCTCTTCGACCACTTTACCGCTCTGGTATCCACCCAAAACCCTGATACCTTTTTCTCAAGACCACAGAAGTGCCTCAAGAACAACTCTGCATTTGCCTCAACGTACATCTCCACAGATCCCAAACCCACACTCATATCCACCAATTCGCTTGAATTCAATCCCAAATCCCGAAATTCTCGAAAAACTTCAACATCCACATGGGTTCATCTTCCATTTGCATCGACTACATCTGCAGCTGAGCCCCAATCCAAACCCGAATTTCCAAAATGGTTGAAACCGACTCCAGGGAGCAACCCCAAAGTCCAATCCCTTATGAAGAATTTATCAGTCTTCGAAAGAGCTCTTATTGGGGCTGGTGGTGGTGGTATAGCGGGTGCGTTCACTTATGTCTGCTTGCACCCACTTGACACTATCAAAACCAAAATGCAAACAAAGGGTGCCGCTCAGATTTACCGCAATTCATTAGATGCTGTAGTGAAGACCTTCCGAGAAAGGGGAATTCTTGGATTTTATAGTGGAGTTTCTGCCGTCATCGTGGGGTCTACGGCTTCTTCGGCTGTGTATTTTGGGACTTGTGAGTTTGGGAAATCATTTTTATCGAAGTTTGAGATGTACCCATCTGTGCTTATTCCTCCTACTGCTGGTGCCATGGGCAATATTGTGTCATCGGCTATTATGGTGCCGAAAGAGTTGATCACGCAGCGAATGCAAGCTGGTGCTAAGGGGAGATCGTGGGAGGTTTTGTTGAAAATATTGGAGAAAGATGGTATTTTAGGTCTTTATGCTGGATACTCGGCTACATTGTTGAGGAATTTGCCTGCTGGAGTGTTGAATTATTCCTCATTTGAGTACTTAAAAGCTGCAGTTATGAGTAGGACCAAGAAGAGCCATTTGGAGCCAATTCAGAGTGTTTGTTGTGGAGCATTGGCTGGGGCAATATCGGCTTCTCTAACAACACCACTTGACGTGGTGAAGACAAGGCTGATGACTCAGGTCCATGGTGACGCCATGAATAAGGTTGCAGCCGCAATGTATAGTGGAGTTGCAGCAACTGTGAAGCAGATTTTGAAGGAGGAAGGATGGATTGGTTTGACTAGAGGAATGGGGCCTAGAGTAGTTCATAGTGCTTGTTTTTCAGCACTGGGGTATTGTGCTTTTGAGACTGCAAGGCTTACAATTTTGCATCAGTACTTGAAGAAGAAGGAGATGTCTGAGATGAATGTTGCTCCTGCTTGATTTGGTGGCCAAGGTTGTGACTTGGGTAAAAAATGCCCTACATTACATTATTAGTGATATGTTTAATACTTCCCCTGTTGCCAATTTTGTTTTGCTAGAAATCCAAGCTGCCAATGCATTTTTATACATTTGGTATAAGGCATGTTTTTTTTTTTTTTTTCCTGTTATTGATTCAATTTGAGTAATGCGTAAATTCGTGAATAACCTCTATCTTGCACAAGTATAGATGGTGTAATATGGTAGATTAAGGTTTAAAATAGTCAATTACTTGAGTTATGGATATGCTAGATTGGCTGGTTAGAAAACAATTCAGTTTTTTAATCACAAATAGATTGAACTAATGACATTTTGTTATAATCTCTTTTGGCGGACTTTTTGGATAAATCTTTCATGGATTAGGAGCAGGCTGGATGCATTGTTCCATAGGAGCCTTCCTACAGGGGAAGCTAACTGCAATATATTTTCTTGTTATTAAAAGCTAGTTGTGACTTAGAAGATTGTTCTGGTCATAATAATTTAGAGTTATCTGGTCTATTTGTATGGAGATTAAATAGGTCATTTCTTTTTGATATGTAAGTGCCAAACGGTTTCCGAGTATCTTTGACATGAATGCAACATGGCTTTTGTTTTCCTTACTAAAATCTCCTTGTCTAATTATGCTTGGTGACTGCTAATCAAATCAAGTAAATGATCCACAGTTTTGTTTCCAGGTGTGAGAAATTTATCCACCCATTATTAGAATTGCTGTCACTATTTACTTTTGGGTGACAAGTAGGTAGCGGAAAATAAAACCTAGGTACCTCAGTTGTGAGTTTGGGAAAGATACTCTACTCAAAGCTAGATTTGACTTGCTTCTAATGCTAGGAAAAGATAAGTTGAATTGCATATGTTTGGACACATGTATTGAAGAAAGTTACCTTTCACCTACAAGGTGGGCATCATAACAATCTATACTTTGTGAAAACTGACTTATCTGATATAACGTCTTTAGTCTTCCTTTGGTTTAAATTCTAGATGTCATAAATAGCTTCTCTAATTCTTCACTTGTATTCAGCTTCAGGGATTCCTTACATATTGAATAACTTTTGGTTTTGTTGGTTGATTGGCTTAATTAAGTATAAATTAAGCTAGAAATTGTTTATTTAAATGGTAACATGTGATTTTAAATTGGGGATAATCATGGTTGTAGGTCTGATTACTGCATATCTATTAGGTATCTGATGAATTGTGCTTTGCTCCAGTCATGTAGAGAGTTATGCATGAAAGATAATTAAGCTACCACTTTGCCTTTAGAATATTGCTTTATGTGTTTTCAGTATTCACTACTTCTATGGCTTTCACCAATATAGAAAGCCAGTTTATGCAGTTTTCTAATTTATTCCGTACTAAAAATTTTAGCAGAGCAAAAAGTTATGAATAACTCATCCTTTATTTCGTTAACTTATGGGATTCAGTAACTTTTCCTATCTTCCCTTCTATTCTTTGTTTAAAAATGATTGGACAAGGAAATAGGTGTAACAATTTGTCCTTTTGGAATAGAAGATACTTTGAATCCAACAGGGCAGTATATTCTTTGTTTAGAAATGATTGAACCAATACGTCTTTTAGTTTTATGACCTTCTTAGCTTACTTCTTGCTTAATACATTTGTCTGCAAACAGGAATGCTTCTTTAGAAGAGTTAAATTGGCACATGAAGCATGACATATTCGGTTTATGTTGACCGAATCTTCCTATTCAACTAGTTACTTCTTCATATGACAAGAATGAATTCTAATTTCTATTGATAGGGCTATTTGTCATACCTTATTTGAATTGTATAATCTGATCTATTAGTTTCTCCCTATGCCTTGCAGGTAACCATTTTGCAAGATGAAACATTCAACCAATTTGATTGTAAGTGATGGCTTTTTCGTTCTATGCATGGTTTGAATTATCTGGCAAAGTTGAAACGCAGATAATGGCAGACTAGAAGCAACCAAAATTTATAATATTGAAGTATATTTTGTCAATCATAGGTGTAGCTTGCATCACGAAGACTGGAGAATAGGTAAAATCATGAAGCAAAGGGCCATTGCAAATTTCTGGCGCAGAGAAACAACCTTGTTTGGTCTGAACATGTTTTCAAGTTTAAGGCCTCCAGCACCAGTACAGTAGTGTAGTAGGGGAAATGAACTTCAATTTGTTGCGCTTTTGACTTCTTTTCTTTTCTTTTTGGATATTATTTTTGTAACATTATAGGGAAAATGAACTGAATCTTCAACATTGTTTAAGAGCTGATAAAGTTAACGAAATAAGACTTTTTTGTTCTAGGTGCAAACGAATATCTGCAGCTGCACGTTGTGGAAGGAAATTTTCATATTTCCCAATTTGAGATGTGTCCATTTTTATCATTTCTAGTTCACTTACGTGGATAGGGACCAATTGAAAGTAACAGTGAAGAACGTAAGTTGATGTTTTTAGGCTTGTTAGCAGTATGTGCAAGAGGAACAGAAATGAGAAGGCTCCGAAAAGTATAATTTTCCTACATTCAACCTCGTGTTTGTACTTTGTACAACTGGAATGGAAACATACAGACTGCTTTAGAGCAAGCCTCTGGCCAATGTTCTGTCACAAAACCGTTTTATTTTTGATAAACATTTCAATGCAATATCCCTCATGCTCCCTCCCTGGTCTTGTATCTCTATTTCTAATGAGGCAGCTTTTCTCTTCAATAACTGAATGTCTTTTCCTATATCATTCAAAGTTGTTTTTGTTGATACAGGAAGTTCTTTCCTGTTGGCCATATCAATTTTAATTTTGTTTCTAAGTTGATGCAGATCCAGCAAGTGCATGCCCCTTTTGAGTTGATCATGCCAGTATCGGAGCGAATTCACATTCAGTTTTGCAAACTCTGCATCCCTTATGGCGTAATCCAGCGACTTCAGGTGCTCACTCTTGAGATTTTCAGAAGTGAAGGATGTGACCTTCTTAAGTTCCATACCAAGTCTCTGTAACAAATTTGAGATCGTCCCACGAGATAGTGGGCAATCTTGGGAAAAGTCAGGATGCTTGTGGATGATAGATAGAACAATTGGTGCTACAACCACATTTACAAGATATGGCTCCACATAACAGACAGAATTATCTGCAGAATCAGTTGCTTGGACAGTTTCTGAATTTTCAGCTTTCATAGGTTTGCAGTCCTCACAAAACCAAATGACATCCTCCTCAAAGGTTACCTTTTGAAGTTCCATGCAATAGCTGGAAATTATGAGACTATAAAGATCAAATCAAGTAAAAATCAAAAGAATACAGACAAAGACACCTCCTTATTAGCATTCACACATGTTTTGCAAAACTTCCACTTCAAAAATGCAAATTTCTATGTTAAATCGCAAGGAAATCTGAGATTGTTTCATCTATTGACATCTCTAGAACAATGACTAGCAGTTCAAAAAGCAAAATGCGACTTACCGATGCACAGCATGAATTTGACACTTGTGACAATATACCAAAGCCTCAGAGTAGCCTTTGCCTCCACATGTCAGACAAACATTTACCTGAACCAATAAACAATAAACACATTGCATTAACACACACAAACCCAAATGGGTCTCATGTCATTTTCACTCAGAGCCGTTTCTTTATGGCCCTTCTTTATTTTATCCAACAGACTCATCAGAAAAGCCTTCCTAGGAAGACCACCATACAGACCTAATGAAAATTGTCTTCCTTTTGACCGTTTAATTTAGAGGATGATCTTTTCTGCCCATTTCACCTAATAAAACAACATATTCCCATAAAATTTAGAAAATACATGGCCTATTCCTATCATCAAACACAACAAAAGCACTGAAATTTCTGAAAACTACCACCATTTTGTCAAAGAAACGAAGAATACCCACATCTCCAACAAAATAACAAAAGAAAAAAACAAAAAAAGAAAAGAAAAAAGGAGGGATGAATACCCAAGTCATCATCTAAGTCTCTGTCTCTGACCACTCCAAAATCAATACCCACAAAATAGCATACATAAGCCTCTGCCTATGTTTCTAAATTCTAAACTAAAAACCCACTATTATCCCCTGCCATTATAGTCTCTTCATAAGAAAACAGCCAAACATTTAATTTTAACAGAGTTATAAAAAAAAATGACTATAAGATGAAACCAAGAAGAAGTTCAATAAAGAAGAAACAGGGCAAGAAAGGAAATGGAAGGAAACCGAAACTCACCATAGCTGGACAAGGACGAACCTTTGAGCTATGACGGTGAAAGGAAGAATATGCAACACTCTACAGAATTTGGGGCCAGAAGAAATGAATGTTTCCAAGTAAAAGACAAGATACCCAAAATGCAAAAATGAAAAACCAACCCTTCTGCTTAAACAAAAGAATGGAAATGGAAAAAGTATGATGATTTTAGTAAGAGAGAAGAGGTTGTCAGAGGCATATGAATTAATTGCTTTCTTTCCTCTTCTGGTTTTGAGACGAAAAAGAGGAGGGAAATTTTTCAGAGGCTCGCGTGGTGGTCTGAGGAGTGAAAGTGATGGACTTGCATTTGCGGGCAGGGGTAAAAGACAATAGGTAAACATAATAATTTGGTTACTCAACTTTAAGAATTATACGAAGATTGTCTTTTAATTTCAAAAAATATTAATATTATCTTTAAATTTTAATTTTTAATACTAAAATAGTTCTTCTATTAATAGAAGTTCTACATAACTTGTTATCATACCTCAAAATTAGTTATTTTTTAAAATACCAATAACTAAAAATCAATTATTTTTCAAAATACTAATAACATGTAGAATTGAATAACCATATTTTACTATCGTTGAAAAATTTTTATTTACGTATTAAATTAACATATAATTAAAGTTAAAATACTAAATTAATATTTATAATCAAAATTTAAGGATTAAATTAGTACTTGCTTTCAAAGTTCAATAATTAAGTTAGTAGTTATTTTCAAACTTTAAGGATTTTTTTTTTTGGTGTCAAAATTTAAAATTTAGGAATAATTTTGATACTTTTGAAATTGAAGGATAATTTTACTATAAATTTAAAAATTGAGGGATCAAATTGATATTTTAACAAATATATATATATATATATATTAGGAGATAAA